CTCTATCCTCCTCAAAGAATGTCTAAGGTCCATACAAATTAAGGCATGGCTAAACAGCTGGTGGAGAAATTTCTCCAACCTGCCCAGATTCCTTGAAAATGCCGACTGACATCCATCTTTCCCTGTATTCTGGCAACTGGAAAGGTGGGAAAACTGCACACTGCATTTTAAGTCCTGAGACAGGAAGTAACCAGTAGGAATTCATTTTCCAGGGCATTCATTAAAATGTCCAATAACAGTTATCCTGTTTTGATCAACAAGATAAGATGACAGAAAGAACAGAGAAGGTGAAGGGCTGTACAACGAGGAAATTTTCTCCACAATTTTCACCTTTCCAGAAGCCAGGGAGATTAATAAAGCACCGATCAATTCTTCTAAGAAAGGCAAAATGAAGTAAAAACCTTAAACTGCCTCTTATAAGAAAAGGGGGTGTGTAAACAAGTGGAGAGAGAAAATCTTATTCAGTAAGTGGTGATGTTGAAATGATAATATTTAACTATTTGCAAGAAATGGTTAAGCAGAAATCAGAATAAAATGTCAGAGATAGAGCTAAATGTAATACACAGAGAGAAAAGTAGATACAGATATAAAGATACATATCTATAAATGAATTAAATAAAAATACATCTGAACATAAAAGAGGTGGAAATAATCTGGGGGAAAGAAAAAGGTTGAACAACGTATCATTGTGCAAAACATCAAGGCAGCATGGCTCCATGAAGCCTTTAATTAAATGGCTTAATCAAATTCCTTCTGGTCCCTGGAATGTCTGCATTCCAGGCTGAAGCTATCTCTCCAGCCTACAGAACCCCGACCGATGATCCATGCCCCTGTGAGATTCTCCCAGCATCCTCTCTACCAAGACTCCCTTCCCCCCTAATCAATACCCTTTCCTGAGGATGGCATGGTTTTCCTGTTCCCGACCACTTCACTGGTGCTCCTGTTCCCCAGCTTTCAAGCCTTTACAGAATCTTCTTTTTAATATCTCAAGCTTCTGACAGTACAAGAAAAGGAGATGGTAAAGAGAAGAGAGGGGGGCCGAGCCTCCAGGAGGAGAAGGCTGACAGTTCACTGCTAGACGGGACTTCACTGGCACACTCGGCGGTGCTGCGAGGCAGGGTTTAAGAGATGCCTGCTCCCATCGTCCTCTGACTGCAACTAGATGACATGCAATCAGTTTTTTCCAAAAACATATAAAATAAGAGCAACATATGCTTATATAAAACCATAAACTCATCTACCAATACAGAATAATTCCTGAAAAACTGGACTCTGAGGAACAGATTTAGTAACTCTTAAGAAGTCAAACGCCACCCTCTGAGGCCCTGTACAGCACCCAGATTCAGAAAACCTGCATGTGGCCCCTAATTCTGCCATGTACCACTGTGTAATTTTATCTTAGTCATTTAATTTCTAACTTTTACTTTCCCAATTTAGTCAATGGAGATAACAGTAATTTCTAGAATCATGAGAGTTTTTGAAAATTACTGATTCCTAAGTTGCCCCACCCCAGACCTAGGGAATCAGAATCTCAGAGATGGGGAAATTTGTAAGTCTTCTCTATTTCAAAATCTCCCTGGTGTGATCTGGACACATAGGTCTCTGAGGACTGGTAGCTGGAAATGCTGCAGCACCTTGGTGGGTTAGCAACACCTCCAACCTTACCTTGCCTCTCTCACTGTTGCTCGAGTCCATAACCCCTTTCTCCCTGAGGAGTCAGGCTGCCCATGTGACGTTTAGAACTTGAGGAACCATCAGACGGTGACCCGGGAGCTGGGCAAGCAGGCGCCTCCTCCATCCCGCTGCCGACGAGGAGGTGCGGCAGAAACAAAGACATGCCTCCATCGTGTGAAGGTGGTTCTCAGACACGTTTCTTGTGGGAGGTGGTAGTTAGGAAAATGCTTACTTACATACAGGCCAGTGGAGACCCTGGTCTGGCTTGGAAGCTAAGAGCTATGTTCACACTACTTCAATGGGAAAAATGCTTTGCAACCTCCAGAGGAACAATTCATTATTATATGTTTGGAGCTGCCAGCACACAGAAATAGGGATACAATCCAAAATGCTGAGGTCTGGTTTCTGGATTTCTTCCAAGTGATTTTTGTCTTCTTTTAGTGTAACCATGAAATTACACTTGACACCTTTTTAAGTACCGAGCTTTCTTTGATTCAATACCTACGTCAGCTTCTTTCAATGATTATTTTCCTATTATCAGAGGTTAAGGGACAGAATGCAATTCTTTAAAGAAGTGATTTTGAATGGACAAATCAATCCCCTTGGATTACCGGTGAGCTTTTAACCAACTGTTAGAAATATGTGCTAAGAGTCAAAGACTAACACAGGAACCGGCACTGATTGATAGGATAAAGTAAAACAGCCCCCAATAATACCGACTTCTGATCATGTGCCAGTGTGCTAGTTATGGTTACACATAATATTTCAGCCTTTATTCTTCCTGGTCAGATTGTTAAATTGCTTTCTATTCCCTCTGCTAAAACCCTAGTTTGCACCTGAGCCGGCAAGTACCATAAGCACCATCAGGACAACGTATGTTTATAAAGCACTTCTGTTTCCAAAGGGCTTTCACAAGCATTAGTTTATGTGTTGCTCACAACAGACCCGCAGCAGGCAGATCTGATATCAGCCCCATTTTATAACGGGCAGCTGAGTCGGCACTCGGCCAGCCATCAGGGAGTGGAGGTGGGCCACCTGTTGAAGGGTGTGAGGAACAAGGGGAAGCCAAGCGGACATAGTGAGTGGAGACCAGACCACACGGAGCCGAATTCTTCAGAGTGTGAACCAACTGAATAGCAACATTCATTGACTCCAGACAACTGGATCTGCTTCCAGAAAACAATCATGGGAAAGAGTCATCTAGAAACGAGGCTAAGGAACAGTGGCCGCCATGTGCCCCAGAAGCCTTCAGATCCTTAGGTTGCTAATGTCCTCTACCATCATGCCCAGAGGTGGCAACCTGAGGCTCAGAGTCTTTAGTACCACCCCCCCATCCCCTCATTCCCTTTGGCTTATGAATTAATGAGAGGAAAAGCTCAGGGAGGCTATCCATCGCTGGTGTGTTCTTTCCATGAGTCAAAAAGTTGACCCACAAAAGACTAGCAGAATCCTAGAAACAGAGCTCATGAGATTCGCTCAATCAGCAAATTGTTGCTGAGCCCCTTCTATGTGCAACCATTCTTCTAGGCAACAGGATGCAGCAAGGAATCAAAGAAAAGACCAGCTCACATGGAGCTTCTATTCTCACCACGGCACCCACGTTTAGGCCTTTCTACTTGCTTGTAACTCTTCCTGGACCACTCTACCCCCAGAAATCTGCATGAGTCACTTACTCTCTAACCTCCTTCAGATTTTTACTCCATTAACACCCTTTCTGCAAGGTCCTCTTCCAACCACACTATGCAAACTCGCATCATCTTCCAGAACCATCCTTCCCTATTTTCCCTAACACTTATCACCATCTAACACATTATATGTTTCTCTTATTTTTTCTTATTTTTCTCCTCCCACCAGAATCCATGCTTCAGAAACGCAGGGGTGATTGTCTGGTTTGCTCATGACAGTATCCCTAGTGCCTTTAGCTATAACTGGCACGTAGTAGGCACGAAATAAATCCTGGTTCGTTCGCATGATCAAACAAGGCTTTTGACACATGCAGATATACGCAGGCCTCCTGTGTTCACCTGTATTCATTATCATAAGCCTCATGGATATTCCTACATAGGCCTAAGTTCCTTCTCTTGGTCATACAGTTTTAAAAGCCCTATATGTCCAAATTTGCAGGCATTTATCCTTACTTTACTTGGTTTGCTTTAGTTCTTTGTGCTTAAACGAAACATTTTTCTCTTCTTATGTGGTCTTCAAACATGAGCATTCTCTTCTTTTCATACTCAGACCATTTATTACATTCCCTGCAGAATCCCTAAGCACTTAAGACTATTTGCAGCTACACATATGTCAATTCACAATATCACAAAACAGCTCTACAAAAGATAAAAATGATGTCAAATGTCTAATTTTTATTCTTTTCAAATGCAATCTCTGACTTTAAAAGTAGGCATACATGTAAACAAAAGCAGTCTAACTGAATTAAATTTCCAAATCTAATAAAACCTTCCCCTCTCTTCCTCTAGTATATCTTTGGATGTCTCTAAATAGTTGGGTTTCTCAATGCAAACATCTGAGTTGCAGTGATTTTCAAGAGAAAGATATGAATGTACAAGGCCTCTGATACAGAAATAATTAAATGCTATGCTTCTTAATTCTCTAACTCCTCAAGAAACACTGGCTAACAAGGAGAAATGAATGGAAAATGCTAGAAGAGCTGATCTTACGGCCTGTTCTCCCACCTACTATAATGTGACCCCAGGGCCAGTTTTTGCTTTCTTATCTGTACAAAGATAATATACCCTGACCTTCTCACCACATAGAACTTTTCCGGGAATAACAGAAATTAGTAGTGGGATATGCTCTAAACTACACAGCAACAGTCAAATGAAAGGTAGAATGATTTTGCCTAAAGGCCAAGTCCTCTTAACGTCTCCTTGAGGAGCAGTAAAACCCACAGTACAGTTGACCCTTGAGCTGTCCGGGGGTTAGGGGCGATGATCCCCCTCCCCCGAGTCAAAAATCCGCATGACTCTGACTCTCCCAAAACATAACGACTAATAGCCTACTCTTGGTTGGAAGCCTTACTGATAACATGAACAGGTGATCAGCACACATTTTGTATGTTATATGTATGTTACACTGTATTCTTATAATAAAAGAAGCTAGAGAAAAGATGATGTTAAGAAAATCATAAGGAAGATAAAATACATTTTCAGTCCTGTAGTGTGTTTATGGGAAACAATCTGTGTAAGTGGACCAGTGCAATTCCAGCTCATGCTGTTCAAGGGTCAGCTGCAGTTCTTTCTGCTTCTCATCCCCTTATATCAAATACATCACAAAAAAGTAATTCTTTATAGATACATTTTGGGATATACCTTTGACTGTATTGTCCTCAGATTAACGAGATGAATGTCACAAGGCAAAGATGACAGTAACGGAGAGAATTCACCTAGCAGCTGAAGGGTGGGCACGGGGATCTTTTCTGTCATTGTAAAGACAGGATGATTCAGGAAAGAGGATGTTATGTGGCTAACGAGAGAAGGATAACTGACTGACTTCTTTTCTTCTTCCTATCAAGAAAAAACAGAAATGCTTAAGTGTTATATATATATGCAGTTTTCACAATATTAATGGAATTACCTGACAGGGTTTAAATAGAAAAGAAATATAAACAAAAACAAATATTTTAATTTTATATTTTGTAAATAACAGTCTTAGCCAACATAGAGATTACCAAGTCCATTTGTAAGCAATACAAGAAAATGAACAGTGTCCACCTAACTCATGTTTAGAAAGATCTTTTTTCCATTGCTTTAGTACTAAAAATCCTGATAACATTTTCCAAAAAACATTTTAGGACAAGGCATAACATTTTACGGAAACTCTTTCTCAACCTACCACAAAATTCTTAAATAGATGGGCTGGGATATTCACACATCTTGCACATCATCAAATGTGATCTCTTCTCCCTCAGGTTTTACCCACCATATACTCATGGTTTCATTTATACACTCAACTAGACCATAACATCTTGTGATCTGAAGCTATGCTCCATACATGTTACCCAATGACAGGATTTTTTGGGGAAAAACTCTCAAAATAAATAAGGTTTTTAAAATAACACAAGGAGTATACCTATATCATCTGTTAAATTTGGTAAATCACTACCACTGAACTGAAACTGTTAAATTATGTTATATAATAGTTAGTACATATTTACCTAGTACACAATTATTCAGTAGAATTTAAAAGTACTTTAGTCATTGCTATGGTATATACTTAAAGACAAGTGGTTCTGCATGTTCAAACATTAAACAAGTCTGCCAGGGCTGGCAATAGACATATGGTAGATGACACACTCAATTAACTAAATCGATGACTAAGTAGAATCTTAACCAATAATGCCTAAGGTATAAGAGCACACAGAGAAAAACACTGAGAAGAGAAAATAATTTATGTAGAAAGGTTTTTTGATCAACAGTGACATGTGGAACAAATTTAATTTTGTATCTTATTTTTAAACTGTCCATTTCACTGATATCCTCTGATTTTGCATCCTTTCTGCAATACAGGGCTCAAATAAAAGGCTTGGCTACTTATCTGGCCGAAAAGATAGGATTTATAGGAGATACGGGGCTTAAAATTCAGAATGTCAGATTAGCACTGAACAGAGGGTATTGAGCAAAGAGTGACAAGCATCTTGCCAGCAGCGAACTGTAGATGTCATTACAATTCAGACTATGGAGAAAGAAAAAAAATTAATGGCAGTAGAGGGACAGTGCATACTGAGATACTGACACAAGGTCTAAATGACTTGTAAATAAAATATGCACCCATCCCACACTCTTTTTTTAAAAGAAAGATTAAAAAAGCATATATAATAATATTCACCAACAATACTGAAATTTAATGCATGTTGTTGAATACTGAGGGAACAGTTTCAACTGGAAACTTTAAATGTACTCCAAGATCAAAGGACTTCATAATCTAGGGCAGGATTGCTGACAAAATCACTTTTCAATAATAAAAGATAAAAGATCCCAACAGAAAAGAAGACACCTGCCGTATCAGAATCAGAAGGCATTAAGTCCATTCTAGGTCAAGTAACATTCAGAGAAAGCTCTCTGGCTTTGTTCTATGCTCTTGGAGGAATCCCTGGACACTTCAGTGAATAGGTGGGATACTTCTTGATGGATTATGTATACCTTTCAAACAGTAATGTGCATATATACTCTTCCTCCCAACCACACCAGTTCCCTTGACTCTCAGTGCCCCCCTGCAACCTACCATACATAAAAATGGCTTGGGGAGCTTTAAACATAGATCCCCGAACCCTAACCCAAATCTACTTAATCAGAATTTCCAGGGGTGAGCCCTAGGAAGCCAAAGCTTAACAGCCCCCAGAGTGAATCTCAAATCTCGGTCAGTCTGACACAGCTCTGTGGACACGTCCTGGGAACCATCACCCCAGACATCCTCCCAACCTTGTAGAAGAAACCGCTGCCTTTGCAATCAAATGTCTGAGTCTCATCCTTTAACTAGTTTTGGATTAAGAAAATGATTCAGACTCAGAAACATGTTAATGCTAAGTCTCGTCAAAGGAAACAATATCATGACTGTAAGTGCTTCGAGAATTCAAGAACTGTGCCATTTACTGTCCTAAGCAGGATAAGGGAGAGAAGTTTAGGGAAGATTTGTGGTTCAGAGCTATAAAAGCACCACGAACAAATAACGCTGCTGGAAGCTGGCCAGGCAGGGTGGGACAAAATCTCACAGAAGGTTCCATGATTCATGCACTTTCTTAACATGTTTATAGCAACGAGGGGCTCGACAAGATATTTAGCTGGTGAATTATCACCTTTTGATTAATCTCCTGGAAAGGTAATCTTTTAACTGTAACCTTTATGATAAACCCAAAGCTTATAACACATGTTTGCTATAGGAAATTTTAAGCTGTAAATGAATTCTCCAGCCTTGCAGTACTAAAATACTACTCTAAACATTATTTGGTTCCTTGTGGGCTGGAAGGCTTCAAGCTGTTCAGATCTAGCTTTCTCCTTGCATTCTGTATGAAATTATAAAGAGTTTATAGCACATTCTGATCCAAACCACAAGAAGTTGAGATCTCCATTGGGTTCCAGCCCTTATTTTATAAATCAGAACTTCCTGCTAGGCTCCATGGTGTCCTTCATGAAGCCCATTTAAGTTATCTGATCCCTAAACATCAAAGGTTTCCATCCATCTACAGCAAAACTTGCTAAATAAATTATCTAAGACAATAAGAGATGATATTTTGAGTCACTTTGGCTTATTCAGTATGACCTGATACATGGTGAGAACTTGATAAATGTTTTTTTAAACTTAATCTATCAACAAGTAAATGTAATATAAATAAAGGAGAGAAAAATACAGTAGGAGAAAGGATGTGGTAAAAAGAGACAGAAGAAATAATTGATGAAAATTAATGAATCATAAGATTTAGAAATATATCTCATTTAGCGCAGAGGTGAAGCCTGGTGATCTGTGAGCTAAATCTGCCTACAGATAGGTTTTGATAGGTCTGCATGGTATTAAAAAGTTGTCTGTTTTTTGGCCAACTCTCAAAAAAGAAAAAAAATCCAGGAGATTTCACAGTGAAATTGTCAACAACAACAAAAAAACTCCCTAAAACAGGTAGCTTTTTTTTTTTTTTTAAACCCAAAACACTGGAAACCCAAGTCACCCTGGGCCCCCATATTCCCTCAAGTGCAGCTGAGTTGTAGCTCCTTGGTGGGATGTGTCCTCACTCATCACAGACCTGGGGTCACCTCACTTACGTGTTTGCCCTTAAACCTGACCAACCTCCCTCATGCCATCACTTTTCTGAGTCCTGTCAGCATTTGAGCTTTTCATCTGATCTCTCCTAGCTCCTTTTCCTGACATGTAAAGAACTGGTATCCACAGGTAAAATGACACAACTGTAATACCTGAACACTTCCCAGCACTTCTAATTCCTGGTTCAATGCCCTCTACCTATAGCAGTCTTCAGCAGGAAGGGATAGGGAGTAAGTGTCAAAGAAACAAAACCTAAAGGGTCAATGCCAAAGAGACAATTCCCACTTTCCGCTTCCGTTGGTCATTACACATGGATGATAGTCCACCTCACATAGCTACAGTAACCCCCTGGGCATCTGCACATCTCACAGCAAGTATCATTCCAGTCCTTGTTCTCACTGCCTCTCTGCAGAACACTCACGAACAGGATTCGGTTCCACTTAGTCACCCAGATAACTCCTCCCAGAGGCTCTGGCAGGCTGAAGACTTTCTACTAAAATGCCTTCCTGTACAGAGACTGTCTCCTCACCATGGTTCCTACCATCGACATCTTAAACATGAGAGTCTGAGTTGAAAATAAAAACACTTTCTGCAAAGTTTAAGTTATAGGAGATGGAACATTCCTTAATCAAATGCCTTTTTAATCAATTGCACTAGAAATTAAAATGTATTTTCTCTTCTCTAGTTCATTTTTTATTTAAAAGAAACTATTGATTTAAGTCCAAGAATCTATAGTTGAGCAAAAAGAAAAATTTAACCAACATAGGATTATACAAACACTGGATCAAATTTCAATCAATTACTATCCAAGGAGTTTTGAATGGGAATAAACAAATTATTTCACTTCTAAGTGAAAGCTTTATAGATCTGACATGAAAATGCTTATTGCCATAGTTAATAGAAGCTTTGCAAATTAGTGTCTATATAGAGAGAAAAAAAAAAATCATAAAAGCCAGAGACATTTTCGGGAGGAGAAAAAGACAGTAGCTGCCAGCACTCAGACAATGATTTTCCTGTGCAGTTTTAGTCCTCAAATTAAGCTATCTTGTCAGTAATTGATTTAAACCATGAGTCCCAAGAACTGGTTTAAATCTTGACATCTAAAAATGGATATTAAAATCTTTTTTCCTAAAAGATTCTAGATACTGAAAGAATTCTTGGCTTTAATGAGCTGTTGCCATTTCATTCAATCAACCAGTGTTTTATTTATAGAATAGCTACCATAGGCAAGGAGCCCTGTGGGGTACATAAAAATGAAGCAGACAAGTCCCTGGAATGGAGCAGGGGAAGAGAACATGCCGAGTATGACAAGGCAGTAAGCAGGGGCTGGGATAAATGCGGTGGCACCATGCGCTATTACAGCTCACTCATTTATGCATTTGTGCATTCATTCATGCAACACATATCGGGTGCTTCCTCTACCAGGAACAATTCTAGAAGCAGAGGAACATGGCCCCCACTCTCATGAAGTTATGGTCCAAAAGAGGAGAGAGACAATGATCAAATATAATCACATCTATGCACGGAGGACAGATGCGCAATTCTGAGGAGGCACTGAGGATGGTGATCTGGCCTGGTCAAGAAAAAGCAGTTGACCAAGGCAGCTTTGGCCTGAACTATTATGAAGAGTTCCCTGGGCACAGAATGAAACCACAAATGCAAAGGTGCTGTGGGCCCCAGGTGCGTAGGGAGCACTTGGGACTGAAAGAAAACTAGTGGGCCTAGAGCAGAAATAACACGAGTCATGCTGGATGAAGCTGGGGGACAGGCAGGGCCCAGATCATGAAGGGCTCTTCAGGCCATGGGAAGGATTTTGGCTTTTATTAGGAGAGCAATGAGAAGACACCTGAGGGTTAAGAAGGGAGCACTGAGGTCAGATTGAATTTTGAAAAGATGAATCACTTTGCTTACTTGATTTGAGAACAAATATGGAAGGAAAAGAAGAGCAGAATGATTCAGGAAACACATGATGTTTCTTTAGATAATGGTGGTCAAAATAAGCAAGTTTATAGATTTGAAATATTTAGGCAATAAGATAGTCAACACTGGTGATCATTGTTTTAAGAAAGGGGCAGGCAAAGGAGAAGTATCAATGAGAGATGACTGCTATGTATGTGGCACTGGATGGAAGGTGGTACTAGTCCCCGAGAGAGCAAACACTAGAAAAGAGCAGGTCTGGGGGGAAGGGAAGAGAGATCATGAGAGTGATCATGGATATGTCGGGTCTGAATAGCAGGATGCAGCTAGGTAGATGGGTCTGCAGGTAAGAGGTGAACTATATGTGTGGGTTTCATCTGCGTAGAGGTGGTCACCAAAGCCACAGGAGTAGGAGAGATTGCAGAGGGAGAACATATAAAACGAGAAAAGGAGAAGGCGTGGGGCCAACCCTTGAGGACTCTGACATTTAATGGCTTAATAACCATCAGAGAGATAAAGAACCACTTGAGAGCTAGGAGGAAAACCAGATGAGCATGGCACCACGGAATCCCTGGCTAGACTGCCTTCTAAGAAGTGACATGGTCAGTGTCGAATGCTGCTGCAAGGTGAAGTAAGATGGTGGATCTCATGACACTGGCAAGGGTGTGTGTGTGGTGGGGGAAGCTAAAGCAAATCTGAAATGAGTTGAGTGTGACACGGAAGCAATGAAATAAACCCATCTTCCAAAGCGGCTCAACTGGGTGTGGAAGACAGGACGGGAGAGCAGGGCAAATGGACATGAGTCTGTGTGGAGGTTGTTTTTGGTATGTATGTATGTATGTATGTATGTATGTATGTATGTATGTATGTATTTATTAAAGATTTTATTTATTTTTTAGAGAGCAAGCGAGCGAGAAACAGCATGAGAGGGGAGAGGGTCAGAGGGAGAAGTAGGCTCCCCGCTGAGCCGGGAGCCTGATGTGGGACTCGATCCCAGGACCCTGGGATCATGACTCGAGCCGAAGGCAGACGCTTAACCATCTGAGCCACCCAGGCGCCCTTGGTTTTTATTTTTAATAGGAGAAAATGAAGAGTGTCTAAAAGCCTGCAGAAAGGGTTTCTTTCCTAGGGAAATGTCAGCTATGAAGGGCAGAGAGAGGGAAGGAGGATGGTGATGCTGAGGAGGGTGCTGGGGTACGTTGCAAGGACAAGTGGAGGTACTGGCCTGGGAGGAAAGGAAGGTAAAAATGTCTCTATTGCAACATGAGGGAAGAAGGAAAGGGTGGGAGGAGATGGTTGATACCCAGAACAGAGAGCCCTGTCAGATGTGAAGTCGATGGTGAGGCCACCAGCTAAAAAGAGTAGAAAAGATCTGAAATGGATCAGTGAAGAAAGAAGGAGAGCAGAGTGAGAAAAAAAGGGCTGTGTACAGATCATCTGAGGTGGGAAATCAGTAAAGCACGGAGGACTGTGATGATGACTTTTGTGTAGCCTTGAAGAGGCGTATTGTCATGTTGGTTTACATCCAACTGAGCTTTAGCCAGATTTTTTTAATGGAATGCTGAGGTTTTGTCTTGAGAAATGAAAACTGAGCAAGAAGATAGACAAGTAAATCCATTTTTAATTGAGGAGTCTAAGACTAGAATAAGCACACTAAGGTTTCCCATAAATTTTACTAATCAAACTTAATCTAAGTATGTGATTAAGTTCTATTCTTAAATTCAACTCTTATTTTCTTTCAAAATAATCTCAGAAAATCTCACCCAAACTGATTCTTTAACATTTTACATCTACATAATAAGGAAAAATAAAAAATAAGATGACCTAAATGCAAATCTGACATATGTGTAACTGAAGTTCTCTTTTTTGTCAATATAGGCTACACCTATTATAAGGATATCTCAATCCTGGGAACTGAAAATCATAAAAAAAGTGGACAGTCATAATTTCAAATTTTGGGTGGCAAAGAACAAACAACATCAGAACGTATGAGTTATTATTTTTTTCCTACCGTATTCACACTTCTTTTTTCCAGTAGTAGTCGAAATAAATTAGCTGTAACCTTGTTATCATGGACACCTTGTTCAAGGCCGCGATTATCATCTTGCATGAGTCTTCGATCCATGATAACTTCAATCTGACCTAACAAACAAACAAACAAACTGGCCAGAGTTATTTAATACAAACATCCAGTGACAATCACATAAGTTTAGGCACGGTCCTGATTTAAGCCAAGGAGACAGATCCATATAGCCCAAAGTACCAAGGGCTTTCTCAAAACAGCTAGGATAAATGCAAAAAACAGGACTTTATTTCCGTTCTTCTTCATAAATGTCTGGTAAAATTTGGTAAGAAATTTAAAAATGAGACAGATCAAACTTAAGTGAAATTTAAAAAGAATTAATCTGAAGAGTAAATTATGTCCTCTAAAATTTTTAGTGGTAGCACCTGGAATTTAAAAACATTTACGAGGTTCATTAGGAAACATACATCACACCTGGAGTAACAAGGCAAATACAGATGTGTAGAATCTAAAAAGGATTTGAAAGACTAAGCGTTTTGGTTACTTGGTATCTGGTGATTCTCTGAAGAAACCCCAGGATTTGGAGACACCCAGCACGTACCCCCTTCCCTCCCTGGTATTAAGTTAGTGGCATCAACTATCCTCTCTCCTCTAGTTCAAGAAGAGGCCATATTTGGTTCCTTCATTGGCTGTGCAGTAATTCCACACCTCCTCTAGGTTAAGTTGTAAGCTAAGAATTAGGCTATGAGACTACAAACCAAAAAACCCTATCCAAAACAAAGCAAAAAACCACCCAGAGCCACAGTCATATATTTACACTAAAAAAAAAACCTAGTCATACATAAAAATATATGCATATTCATCCATCCACTCATTCACATTTGTTACAGTACTAAATGATCTTTTGGCATAAAAGAGCAATACATAAAATATTTTAATAACTATTATTTTCACACAGTCAATCCAACTCTGTTTAGTTCTTTCTTCTCAATTTAGGTACCCAGTACATAAAACTGCCAGTGATGGTCAGAATTTTCGTTGTTACTACCTCCATATTTATTTTAGAACACAACTGTCTAGAATGTGCTCCTCAGGCACTGGGACGAATTGGCCATCTAGAGCTTGATCATGTCACACCCAAATGAGTACATCAATCTCTTGGCAGTTTCTCTCTTCTCCCTGCCTCCAAATGTTAGCCCTCATAATATGTGACACTCAGTAAATCTCCTGGGCTGTACTCAAATTGTTCTTCTGTTTGTAGGTACTGAAATGCTAGGGTGCTTGGCTGTCTGTAGCAGGGGCACCTGGGCCAGGTGTGACTCTTGAGCCCCCCATTTTTAAACGTTGCCTTAAATTCTCAAAGCTGGGTCCTTAAATAGGGAACTAGACATTAGGACTGGAGCAATCATGGAGTAGACAGTTATGTCACTTCCCTTGACAAAGGCAAGCTGAGAAATAAAGCTCCTCTGTCCCTAAACCACATTTAGGAATTTTATGTGAAGTTGTCCAATCTATAAATAGTTGACTTAATTTTTTAAAAATCAAAACATATGGAGTGCCTGGGTGGCTCAGTCATTAAGCGGCTGCCTTCAGCTCAGGTCATGGTCCCGGGGTCCCGGGATCGAGCCCCATATTGTGCTCCCTGCTCCCTGGGAAGCCTGCTTCTCCCTCTCCCACTCCCCCTGGTTATGTTCCCTCTCTCGCTGTCTCTCTCTTTCTCTGTCAAATAAATGAATAAAATCTCCAAAAAAAATAAAAATAAAAACATAAAAAATTCCAGACTCCTGGGCTCTTCAGAAGCAGAAAAATTTGGCAACCCTGGGCCCCTTTCCCCATGGTGACAACAACCTGGCGCTGAGCAGCGGCTGCCCCACCGTTCACTGGGAATGGTGTGCCCCAGTTTGCCGAAGCCCCACCACTCCCCGCTGCATCCCTGATGTGAGGCCATTATTATTTTTCTAACAGCGTTAATGTCTTTATGGTATCATCTCATGAGTCTGTGTAATGAAAGCCACAAAAGAAGATGAGTAGTATGCTTTTTTGTGGGGGTGGACATATGGAATGTATGTATATGCCCAATTAAAAAAGTGGGTTTGGGGCAAAGGGTACGTCAGGTACCTGCACACCTTTATTATCTGCCTGGCTCCTTAAGACATTTGTCTTAGCAACTCTTAATATGTAAGAAAGAAGAGCAATTTGACTACATATAAATGATAATGAAAAAATATGTATTATAAAGGACATACGCCTCTCCATAGAAGGTTTTATAAAAATTAATCTGTGTTTACGATTTATTTTCTCTTTCCATCTTGTTCTATCTTTTGGAATCCTTAAAGTTGTGTCTGTCACCTCTTTATCTGCCTAGCTGTATCATTGCAACTCCCTTTCTTCTTTCGGGTAGAAGTGCCCTAGAACGATACGATTCAGAGAAGGACCTAGGTTTGAACTGTTACGTCCCGCCTTTGCGAACTTAGGCAACTCTGGGAATTTCTAACTTTTACCCCAGCTCCCTCTCCTCTTTGGCTTCTGGGAGAGTTTCCACAGCCATTCCATTATGACAACGACAGAGGCTTGTGCAAACAATGAGCTATCAGGAGAGAAAAATTATCTTTAAGAAGCCATGGTTTCATGGAGCTTTAGGTCCCTCATTCTTCATCAGAAGATTGAAGAAATGCATTATTTTATGTTATTCTCACAAAACCAAAATTAACTAATAGCTGGTGTCTGAAGATGATAATTAATAATATGACCAACAGAAAAATTATACATTTGGAACTGAAACTTGTAAGAGCAAAAAAGAATCCAAACAACACGCACCACTTTTCAAACTTGAAACCCCTAAAGACTGAGCTGAGAGTAATGTCAAGCGATGCTTGGTGTCCTGTATATAGGCCATTGTGGTCATCGGATAGACATTTGCTTGAAGAGGCAATTTGCTCATCGTCATTCTGGGCTGAATCTATAAGACCAAACAGTTCACTTTAAAAAAAAGAAATCAAGGGATATTTACAGATGTACTTTAAAAAATTAGTACTGACTACAGATGACGTTTCTTCCAAAAAGAAAAAGGTATAGCTTCCTTTCTTGTTCAAAGGAAGAGCTAATTTAGGAATTAAAACATTCTTTCAAACAATATGAAAAAAAAAAAAAATAAGGAGGATCTTAGAAAACTTTTAGGTGAGAAAGGTAGAACTTATCCAGGTTCTTAAAATAGGCATTCCTATTTAAATTCAGAATAAAAATCCTTAACAAAAGTCTTCTAGCTTTCCAATATTTGCATAAAACAAATTATAAAGGTATCAAGTATTCATTTCTCATCTAAATCTAACATACTGCTTTTGTAATGAATGCTAAGCATAATAGCTCTCTATCCCCTTTCAAAAAATCTCTCTTATAATTCTTGAATCAGTTTTAATAAATACCACAGATCCCCTTATCAAATCCTCTAACATATTACATTAAAATAATCAAATTAATATTTATATTTAAAAACTCTTCAGTGCTTATTCTTCCTCTTTAGTGTCAATGTAGGTAGTTCCATATTTTAACTTTTCTTGGTCTGGTATGTGAATGCATGAAATACATTATTTTATTTTTTGACCGAAAATTCACTAAGCTGGTTGGGGCTGAGGAGAGTCCCTCAAACCTCAGGAGGAAACATCAAACAGAGACTTTGTTATGAGGTATCTTATTCACACCACATAAAAATGACATCTCTCCTGTTCAGCTCATGCAAGTCTGACATGACACTCAAGAAGAAAAGGAGTACAAAGTTAATGTAATAGTATTAAGTGCCCATTATAACGAGACAAAGTACGGGCATTCACAAATATGATCTTTAATCTTTACAACAACCCTGTAGTGCATCCTTTAACTTACTGGTTGTACTGAATAGTGTCCCCCAAATTCATGGTCATCCATAACCTGTGAATGTGATTTTGTTCTGAAATAGGATCTCTACAGACATAAGGTATAGTGGATTAGGGTGGGCTCTAATCCAAGGGCTGGTGTCCTTCTAAGCGGGAAACATGGACACGAAAGGACACACACGGCAACACAAGGAGAATACGACAGGGACTCTGGGACAGCAGAGGCAGACAGTGGAGTGATGGGTCTACAAGCCCATCAGAAGCCCCAACAGGCAAGGAAGAGTATTTCCCTAGAGCCTCTGGAGGGAGTGTGGCCCTGAAGACATCTTGATTTGGGACTTCTGGTGTCCAGAACTATGACAGAATAAATTCTTGTTGTTCTAAGCCACCCATTTTGTGGTAATTTGTATCACAGGCCCAGGAAATTATGAACCTGAAGAAACAACTGCAAAATGTTAAAAAAAAAAAAAAAGAAAGAAAGAAAGAAAGAAAAAAGAAGAGAGAGTTTCAAAGAATTTTCCATTTCTCCTTTCCAATCTGGATCTTCCCAATCAAATTAACTTGTATACTCACTGAAAAGGACATTCACACTGTCATGACTATAGGGCTGCCACCCTCACTCCCTACCTGTTGGTCTAGATTTCTAGTTTTGCTCAAGGACTACTCTTTCCAAGTCTTAAAAAATGGCCTATTTTAGAAGCAGAAATATTTAGGTCATAAATTTAGAAATTTAGAAGTTTAGAAATAATATTTTCCCATTTATTCAAATGCTCGATCCTTGAAAAGAAAATTCACATGTTTATTCACTTTTACTAAGTTTTTTTCATTCATGTATACACCCACACATACAAATAATTGCTTTTGTAAGATTTTAAGAAAAGAGTTTCTTTTGTACACAAGGAAAATGAATCACCATAAAGTCAGGGCTTCATTTGAAAACCAAACAGCTGTGGTAGAATTAACATGTAAATTCAAAGTGTATAATGCAATTTTTATGCTTTGGAAAAGGTTTAAATTTAACCTTTGCAGGAAATTGTAGAAGAGAAAATTATCACAACGCCTTCCACTCATCCCAGTTGAAAATCAGACAAAGTAAAAGCATTTGTTGTGAAATTATTTCTATTCATAGCCAGAAATTTCTAAAATGCTAATGTCTCAAAAACATGCTAATGTTTTTAGTGGTAGTATTTCAAAGCTATGTTGTCACACACATATACTCTGAATATAGAAATTTATGTAACAATCAAAAGAGCCCTATTAAATTAGAGAGCTAACAATCTGAAAAAAATTGAGTCAATTTTCTCATTACTATTTCAAATTATTTTGTGAACATTTTGATTAAATACATGCCTGCCCACATTTCTATATATGTGCTTGTATTTCTTTGTCTATGTATATGTACACAAGTGTGTGCATAAAGGTAAATACACATACATTATTGATAAAAAGAGGGAAAGAGCTTTCCTGAAATTTAAAAGAGCCCATTATTACATTATACATTTAAAAGTATATATGTAATAAATTAAATACACACATACCATTTCTTTATGAGGGGAAAAATACATACTCCACCAATCCCTAATTATGTTTCCTTTCTATTAAACAAATTCAGATATATTTTGGTGTCAAGGCATTTAACATGCAAATGGTCACCAAATCTGCCTTTGAAAACACTACCTCCGTAAATCAGATGCTCTACAAACCAATCTCTCAAATATCTGTTCTAACTTTGGACATCTGGTTGAATATAGAACCTATAAGTACCTGTTAAAATTCAGTTTTCCTTTAGAAATAATTTGTAAACTTAAGCATATTTTTCAAAGGATCCAAAATTAACTGGCCCACTACCATATATAAAAGTTACACACTAACACAGCTATTACTTAGACATTTTAAGGGAAAATTACCTGATATCCATTCAGGTCAGTATAAAATTTGTTTTGACTGTTTATGCTAGAAGAAATTCTCATTGCAATCTCACGGTTATGTTCTTTTCGGATGTCCACGATATTGGACACTTCCACAGACTGTCCGTCTATTCCTAAATTTAAAAGAATATATATGTTAATAGAAATTGATTGCTCCACTTTTCTTATACTGTACAGAACTTCCAGAGTGACATACATTTTCCCGTTTTCTATTCCTATCTTCACCATTTTTCATGCTAACTGTGCCACCGTTCACCTTTTTCTTTCTTTTCTTTCTTTTTTTTTTTTTTTTACACTGTCAGACAGTAGAAAACATTTACTCCGGAGAACATGTAACTCAACAGAAGGATGAAGAGCTTGGGATGAGATAAACGCAGATGAAATATAACATGCAAATGATTCTCCAATGAGTTCTGGAGGGAAAAGAGAACTTTAAATGAGAAAAGGTTAGCCCCACTCCAGGCCAGGCCGCCTGTCACGTGTACGGCCATTCTCCAACAGAGCCATGTGAGCCTACTTCTTCACGGCTCGCCTTCCGTGCTGGAAATCTGAAGCAGTGAGATCTACACTCTCTTGGTTCGAGAGACAGTCTATTACTGTCCATGATCTATAATCTAGGAAAAGAGACACGAGATCCAATGAGATGCTTTATGGCTAAAATGGATATTATCATATTAGTATTTGTGGAGTATAATCTGGACAGCTCCCCAGAAGTTAAATCAATTTTTTTTTTTTAAGATTTTAGTTGTTTATTTGACAGAGAGAGACAGCGAGAGAGGGAACACAAGCAGGGGGAGTGGGAGAGGGAGAAGCAGGCTTCCCGCCGAGCAGGGAGTCCGATGCGGGGCTCGATCCCAGGACCCTGGGATCATGACCTGAGCGGAAGGCAGCCGCTTAACCGACTGAGCCACCCAGGTGCCCCAAGTTAAATCAATTTTAATTGAGTTTGGTATCTCTTAGGACCCCTTGTTATGGAGTGATTCATTTTGTCCTTTGCTATATAAAGCAGAGGACAGCTTGAAGAAGTCCCAGATGTATCAAACATTTATTTTTTGGGATAAGCCTAAACTTTTCACTAATTTCTATCTGTCATGCCACCCTAACTATATCTTCTGGTCCTGAGTGAAGCCTTGGGTCTATTTCCGAGACGGAGAGGGGAGTTATGGAGAAATCCAACACTCCTAATACAGACTGAGTATGTAGAAGAGATACTGGATCTCCTACAAAAGAGCAATCAGGAAAGCAAGCAATCAAAAGAAGAAAGACCGGCCCTATCCTATTTCATACGGCAGAAGGTTTTTAAGGTTCTAAGAGCCCTGGACACGTACCTGCAGTTGTCAGTCGTTACCCACCAGGCCTCACACACACTCTGTCACAGCTTGCTGATCACCAGGACACTCTTTAGACAAAGAAGGCTATGTAAAGAGAAATGGGGAGTGGGAGAAGGGAGTAAGGAGGACTTTTTCTGGAAGCCAAGAAGAATCCCCAGGGCTTAGAGAAGATGAAAGCAAACAGTTAAAGGAAGGAAGTTTGAATCGGTGGGACTGGTGGAAAATAATGAAAATGCAGCTAGCTGAGGCACTATAGGTTTATGTGAGAAGTACACCGGAAATTGTAAGACATCAATAGTAATATGCTGACAATACTAAATGGGCAGAAGCCTCCATCAACAGATTTTTCAGAATTCTCACAGAAGTTCTTTTCTGGGAGATGTTACGCCTCCAACTCGACAACCTCAGTCAGAGATGACTTCAGTTTCTTACTATGTTCATAAAGCTGTGATGAGCAGTATGACCTCATGTGTGGGGGAAGAAGGTCCTTTTCTTTTCCCTCCCACTTTATGGCCAGTCTGAACCACTAACCAGTAAAATATACATATAACTTTCCTTCTGACAATTACCAGATAACTGACCCAAATAGCTTCACTACTACTGGGAAGTTAAAAGAAAACAAAAATCACATCCACTGATGCCAGAACAATGGTGTTTTCTTTGACTAGGAAATGTATTACTTTCGATGCAAACTTTCCTTTCAGTAGGTTTATGTCAACCCCAATATCTTTCAAAGCCAATGAAATGTATATGGAATTCTAACAGACAAGCTTCCACAAATGAACCAAAGATGCCAAAAAACACAAAATACAGCATAGGGATGAAGTCCCCCATGAAGCATTCAGGCGAACACCTCATCTACTGGAGGCATTCGTGGCTGTTTGGCACCACGTCCGTTTTCTCCTCTCTAGACTGGATATTCTCCCAGGGGGTCAATAGAGTACATGAAATGAAATAAAGTCTTTACAAAGGAGAGTGTCATTAATTTCAAGTCACGTATCTCTGGAAAACATTTACAAAAAACATGCTTCAAGAAAAAATAAATAATTTCACATTACCTCTGGCAATAATAAATTATTTCTGTTGAGAAAATGATCTTTCTTGAGCTCAGTATTATGCTCAGATCCGGTTGTGGCAACAAATGCTTAAGTCTCCTTTAAAAGGAGCCTCGATGTCCATTCACAGTTCAGCAAGACATCTGTGCCAGGACAGGCTTTTAAAGTAAGATCAAACCTAATACACTTATTACGAACAAACCAAATAAATCTTGTAATGGTAATCAAAGCAAGGAGGTATCCCTGAGTCATCAAAGGTAATTTATTACTTTTTAAAGAAGAATCTATGTGAGGGGGATAAAGGACTGCTACCTTTTCCTACTCTAGGTCAAGAATTCCCTAAAGTGTGCCATTCCCAAAGAAGCTCATGGGATTGAGGGGAGAACTCCCTGGGAAGCATGGGTATGAACCGATCGGTCTCAGTGACCTGCAGAACATTTGCAGCAAAAGGTTCTTTTACCAAATTGGTTCCACCTGGGCATGGATGGCCAGGAATTTCTAAGCCGCTCTGGTTTTTCTTCAGTCCTGGGAAAGAAAACAGCTCCTACCTAACAAGCGTAGTCCAAAGAGTTATGTCATTGATAAAGACAGAGAATTAAGAACTCCCTTGCTGCTAACACCTCACCCTCTGTCCCCAGAAAGAGAGAATGGAGATTATTTATCTTTATTAACAGAGGCAATGCAAGGTAAAAACAGAGCAAGTCCACAGGTGGAAAGCCATCATAGAGAAGCGGAAAGAGTCTTGCAGAACTCTGAAGTTTTTTTTTTTTTTTTTCTCCTCCCTGGAGCCTGTTAGCTCCTTACAGATTGTCTTACACACCATCTCTGCATTCCAGTTTTTAACAATAATTTGGGGATGTAGTAGGTGCTGAATCACCATTAAAGAGAATGAGTTAAGATGTGAGAGGCTGTCCTTCATGATGCAGAAGTCAGCTGACATGGGAGGAAAGCAAACTAGGCCATGGACAGAGTTTAAATAGAAAGAAGGGAATAAGTACTTAGATTTTGAGCAAACACATGCATGTTAGAATGTAAGCTCCTCAAGCACTGGGACCATGTCTTATTTATCTTTATGCTCCCAGCACATAATAGGCAGATAGTGTTTGCTGAGTAACGGGCAGCAGCTACATGGAAGAATCAGCCAACAATTACTGAGTCCCCGCTATGTACCATATGCCCCGCCATATGCTTTACATACAGTAACTCATTCAATCCTGACCCTAAGCCTAGGAGAACATACCTTGCCCCAGATCACAAGGCTGACAGAACCAGCACTAAGCCTCTCGGCCATCATGTCTCACTGGCAAATTGACCACTAGAGAATGTTAAAGTTACTTTGGGACCATGGATTGGAGAAGCTTTGCAGTGACTCTAAGTAGAAAGGAGACCTCCAGGTTATTTTTTAAGAAAGGGAGAGGGTACTGATCTGGGATGATATGCTGCAAGTGCTACCTAAAGGAGACAAATACATTATCAGTAAAATAAAATAAAAATAATAAAAAATAATTATGGGACAGGCTTGCCAGAATACAAAACTTCTTCAAAACAATCCGAAATATTTTCTTTAAAAATGTCACGGTCACTTTAGAAGCCAATAAAGTAATATATACTAATTAAAGACACTGTGATCTCATGTATTTACCTAAGATGAACACTAATCACAAGCACAAGCATGTTCACTGTGCACTGGTGCCAAGGGTAGAAACATGGGGAAACAGGCTAGATGCCCACCAACAGACAAATGAATAATAAAACCAGTACATCCACGTTTTGGACTGCTCTGTAGCAAATGAATGAGGTAGCTCTCTGCCCCGGCAAAGAAAGATATCTGATGCAAGAGGTGAATGGAGCATTTGCACAGTGTGATGAACTTTTTGCTAAAACCAAACACAATACTATACCTTTCTGCAGATATGCATGCAAGAGAGGTGTGTGTGAGAGAGAGAGAGGAGATAGAGAGAGAGAATGCAAGTGATCCGAGGGTGCACACAGGTATCTGATTACCTCTCTTGAGTAGTGGATAGGGACCACGCACAGATTCTAGAGGGATTTTACATTATATACATATACTATAATGTGTGACACTTTTGTCAAAAGAGTATACATATATATTATTTGTATACATAAAAATTATTATCTTTTTTATTCTATTTTTTTTAGATTTTATTTATTTGACAGAGAAAGACACAGCAAGAGAAGGAACACAAGCAGGCAGAGTGGGAGTGCTCTTTATTACAAAATACATGCTAGCACAGGCATCTTCTTTAACTTTATATAGAATTTTATGAACATAGTTTATTTGACCAATTCCTCGATGATTATTATTGAACATTTAAGTCTTTTAAAGTATTTTTTCAGATGATAAAGCTGAGAGAAAGGTTTTGCCCACAGTTCTCTTCATCTCTACACAGGATCGATTTTTTCCAGTGCAATGCCTAGTTTGAACGCTCCTGGCACGTATTACTGGGTTACTTTCTAGACAGACTGCTAGGTGTCATGTAAGAATGATGAATAAGACCCAACCTATGCCTTCACGGGGTTTATAGCAAGCATCTTCATAGGAATATTATACATGTGCTATGTGGGACAACAGTGGTTAGACACACAGTCCCATGGGAGCATACAAGAACGACACCTAATATGACTCAAGTATACTGGAAAAAGTTTCCAGAGAATGTAACACTTAAGCTGAGTCCTAAACGATAACCAGGGGTCAATCAGGCAAAGAGAGTGTGTGTGTGTGTGTGTGCGTGCGCGCCTGGGGATGTGCTGGTAGGGGGTTTTTGTTTTGTTTCCAGGCAGCAAAGGTCTAGAAGTAAGAGAACATGGTATGTTAAGAGAATTGATAGTTGAAGGGCTGAAACACAGAGTGCAGGCTGGGGTAATGTGAAAGATGATGCTAGAGAAACCAAAATGTAGACACATAATTCAAGTTAAAGAGTCTGTAAGTTTAGCCTTAGGGCAGTGGACAAAAGAAGAGTTTTGAGCAGCTGAAACATCATGGCTAGTATCCGTTAAATGCCTACTAAGTACCAGATTCTACACTATAAAATTCATATACGTAACCTTATTTAATTCCTCCAACAAATGTATGAGGGAGGGACGGACACCTGTTACAGGAGTGTCGCCATCACTCAGGGGAGAGACAGTAGCAACCTAAAGGAGGGCACTGGTACTGAAGTTAAGGAGAAGCGGACAAAACTGTGATACGTTTAGGAAGTAGAATGAAAAGACCTGGTATTTGTTTGGGTACAAGGAGAAAGTGAAAGAGACAGAGATGAGCAGGGACTGAAGGGGAGGGGACACTAATGAAAAACTGGAATACATGATCACTCAAAAATTGAGGCCCAGGTAACTGGATGATGCTGCTGAAATTTTATTAAGGAGCTCAGGACCACAGAATATTTGAGTAGAGAGTAGGAATCTGGTTTTATTTTTAATTTAAAAAAAATTTTTTTAAAAAGATTTTATTTATTTGACAGAGAGAGAGCACACACACACACACACACACACAAGCAGAGGGAGAGGGAGAAGCAGGCTTCCTGCTGAGCAGGGAGCCCAATGTGGGGCTTGATCCCAGGACCTTGGGATCATGACCTGAGCTCAAGGCAGACGCTTAATGACTGAGGCACCCAGGCGCCCCAGGAGTTCAGTTTTATACGCACTGAAATGGAGGTAAAGGTGGACCATCCCGACGGAGCTACCTATCTGGCCTGTGGGCAGAACTTGGCAAACTTTTCTCAGAAGAGATATGGATGTGGTGAGTCACCAGTACATGGACAATAAATGAAGGCAACTGAGTAGGAAATATCACTCTCACCAGGAGCTTTTATCTTTTAAATCTTCCTGAGGCAAAACAATTACTTATTTAAGATCTCTTATATGCTCTTGACTCTCCACCTCTTTTAGATGTTAACATAATCTGAAGTCACAGATCTATATTCCTGTAGCTTTTTCTACAGTACATACCTAGCTTCAGTTCCGGTAACCAAATTTCCAGTCATGATCTGCATTTCACGATGTCTCATTATTTTCAAGGCCTTCTTACTTTTGATTCAAATATTAGTCAGCTGAGTTGACTTTATCAAGAAAATATTCAAAAAGAAGAGTACCCATGGTTCATTTTGTGTTTTCATATTTGAAAATGTCTTTTTTTGTTGCTTTCACATATAAAAGATAACTGTGAGTATAAAATGATTTAAAAACTCTATAGTCTTCTCATTACAGAGAAGAAACCTAAGTCTGTTTAGCTTTTGTTCCATATTACACAGTATATATCTTTCTGCTTGGGTACTTCTACAATATGTCCCTTTCCTTTTAATTGGACTAAGTTACCAAGACATAACAGGAGTGACCCTCTTTTCATTTGTATTACCCAGAACTTAACCCTTTTATCTATAAAGTCAGACCTTCTCAGCTCAGAAAACTTTTCATCAGTTCTGTCTTTGATCATTGTCTCTGCTCCATTTTTTTCTCCTGAAGAAAATCACTGTCTTTTGTTTAAATCTTATCCTGCATACCAATCATCTTCTCTCCTGTTGTTTCCACTCCTCTTCCTTTTCTCTGCATTCTTGCAAAGCATCTCATGGGTTTTTTTCTTTCGTGTCACTGGACACTCTTTCACAATGTCGGCCTCACTCTTCAGTATCACTTGTAAAGATGCTCACTCATCGCGCCCCCTCCAATAACCTTCCCTTTTGTCCCTTCCCCGTATCATCTCACCAGTTTTTCATCTCGGCTCTTTGTTTCCCGTTTCAGATTTCTTAGAGATCATGACTCAAATTTTTTGAGAACTCCAAAGAGGTTTTTTTGTAATGTTTTCCTGGTCTCTGTAATAAATCATTTTAAAAGGTAAATTGTTCTTCTGAGTCTTCATGTAGCGCTACTTTCTGTCGTTCTGTAGAGCCTTTGCAAAGGTTTGCTAGGATAACTTTCCCTTTACTTACCCTCACAGAAGCAGATATCCAGACCCTGTGTATGCTAAAGGTACTCTTGGTCTTTATTTTGGCATTAAAGCCCCTCTCTTACCTAGAGTTAGTTTATTTGACGAGTATTTGGCAAGGGATTCAAAAGCAAGGGATTTGCCAGGGGATTCAAAAGCAAGGTAGTTCCCTGCCATCATGGAGCTAATATTTTAGCAAGGGAGACAGACAGCAAGAAATAAATAAATTAAATAACCAGTTTGTTAATAATGCCTAAAGGAGGGGAAGAAAAATGCAGTGATGGAGAAGAGTAAGTTATATAATATATAAAATATATAATA